ATAGGGGGCAGGGGGATTATCCCCCTTGGCCTTCTCAATTTTCAGGCCAGCAGCTTCGGCAACACCTTGGGCCGGGTACCCGACCGGGTCAAGTGCCCACCCGACCGGGTTTCAGCACGTTAAAATGTCTCGGGTTAAGTTAGACCCGACCGGGTGGGGTAGGGGACCCGACCGGGTGAGTGCACTTTCCAGGCACTTTCGGTTGTTTGAATCAGATCCGACTGGGTGAAGTCTTCTACCCGGTCGGGTATTTGCTCCTGTACAGTCAAAATTCCGTTTTCTTCACTTCAAACTCCTCCTTTTCAACACCATAATTCCTAATTCTACTTTACAACTTACTTCGTACAAATGAGAACTAAAATACAATTACAACTAAAATCACACAAATGTTGACAAACTAAATAAAATGGTAAACAATCCACACAAATCAAACATAAAAAGATACATTTATGCATTACTAATGAGTGCATATAAGTATACGTATTTAAACGTTTTTTAAAAGTCAACATTTATTTAAAGTTTTTATGACCGTATTTTTTGCCCATGCCACCGAATAAAACATCCACGTATTGAACACCGTTTAATTCCCGTACCCTATTTAACCAACTAGGATCGTACTTTGCATTAATCAATGAAATAATTGCCGCCGTATGACTTCCTGACTTTTCAATTCCAAACATATATCAATTTTGACTTTTTCTAAAAATGTGACCCTTCCATCGCGCATAAACCTTTTCTCCCAAACCCCTTCCATCGAGCATATCTCCTTCGCAGCTCCAAAAATCCTTCACAACTTCACAACTCTCCTTCGCAAATCGCACAACCCTCCGCGGCTCTTCTTCGATCTCCTCTTTGTCGCCGCTCTTCTTCCCCTCTTCAATTCGTCGCCGGATTTCCTTAATCTATCACTTCAAATCAGCGATGGAGGTGCAACTCAGTTCAAATCTGAAGCGGTTATGGTTTACGGGGGGAAATGAAGGGGGTCACGACGGGTCTGGCGCAGGGCAGTGGGTTGGGATGGGCTAGATGCCGATGTGGTTCCGCCTGTGTTCGGATCTGGAATTTGGAGCAGAATGATGGCAGGTTGCAGCGATTGTAGGCGGCGTGACGGGGTGGGGTGCGATTATGTAAAGGATGGGGGCTTCGAAGTTGGGGGAGGGGGCTGGGAAAGTGTGGCGGAGGACAGGGGTGGCGAGGGTGGCCGGTTGTAGTAGTTGACGGTAGTCACAGTAGGTTTAGGGGCTGGGGTAGGTGGGAGAGGGGGCTGGGGTAGAAGAGGCGATGTGATTGGCGGGTGGTGGGCAGTGGTGGTTCTAGGCGTGGAAGGCAGTGGTGGAGTAAGCAGGCAGTCACTTTGTCCGGGGTCACTGTGACCGGTGAACGGGCAGTCACTTTGATCGGGCGGCGGCAGTCACTGTGGCGGTGCAGTCACCAGCAGGCGGAGTCACTGTGGCAGCACAGTCACTGACGGGCGGAGTCACTTTGACCGGAGTCACTGTGGCGGCGGGGCAGTCACTGTGGTGGCGGGGCAGTCACTATGGCGGCGGGGCAGTCACTATGGTCAGTGGGATCACTTTGGCCGGAGTCACTTTGCTCGTAGTCACTTTACACTGCAGGATTAATTATGATGTTGGACACATTTTTAGAATTTTTAAAAACAGATCACTTTTTTATCTTTTATCAAATTTTTAGTAATACTGGAATAAAAAGGCCTTAATCAATTAATTAATATATTTTCGATCGAGGGAATTCTATTTAGTACGTATGGAGTAGTATGTTATTGATTAAATACAGAATGGAATTAATTGTAAAATCTAGTCATTCAATATCTAGGATTTGTCCTTAATCTAGACATAATTGGACTAAAATGTGATCTGTTTAAGTTAGGCCTGATTTATTTAAACCGGTTCAGATCTTAGAGTTAAATCAATTCAAGTAAAAGCATTCCATAATTACAAAAGAAGTACTTTGTTTATCATATTTGTAAGGAAGAATTGGTATTATTAATCCCAACTATTCGTGATCCGCTTTTAATAATCCCTATTATAGTTTATTTCCCTATCTTCCCAACATTAATTTCCTTATTCTTTGAGTAGTCCCTCACCGGTTGGTTCAGGTTATAACCGGAAAAAAATAACCACGTGCACCTCACATGTATCCTCCTCTCAAGTACTGTATATGAAATTAAAACTCCGGTGCCGGCGGTGAGTTCCTTCCCAGGTCGATCTCACCATCTGCTGGTAGCAGGTTTCACTTTGCAGCAAATATGCAGAGATCTGTTTTCTAAGCAACTAAGAAAGAGAGCCGTATCTGAAGGCTCAAACACATAGAAGAACCTTCCAGTTCTCTATCTCAATCCGACATAGCTTCCAATATCCAATTCAGTTCCCTTTGATTGAGAATTACAATCACTCGCTGGACAATCTAGAAAAGATGATTGAAATCTTCAATTAACCCATCCGCTTATCTAGTTTTTGTTTTCCAACTTAAAATCAATATAAGAATTTTCTAAGAAATTTGGAGCATAACAAAATTTGTTGTCTTCTTCGCGTCCCCAGAGGCAGGGCCGGCCCAGAGGGAGTTTAGGGTGTGCGACCGCACAGGGCCCAAAAAATCGAGGGCCCAAAATAAAATTTTTAGTAGTAGTACTACTACTCTACTAATGTAATAATGTATGATGAATTGATGAAATAATGAAATTTAAAAATTTGGTTGTTATTTAGAATTAAATGTAATTAGTTGATGAGTTAATTAGGCTATTTATATTTAATAAATTTATAATTACTGCAGCTATGTTTTAAGAACATCTGTTTGTAGATCAATATTTATGTCAGAAAGGAAGGCCCAAATTTTGTTATTGCACAGGGCCTCCATTTTCTCAGGACCGGACCTGCCGGCCAGAGGTCTGCGACAATTTTCTATCTCCCTTGATGACGTCAACGAGATCTTTAAACAGAAGAAGACAATGGATCGATATGTGTTCTGTACTTTACTTTATCTATTTTCTATCCGGTGGATGACCTACTCTCTGTTTAGAGACTTTGGATGCAAAAGGCCGGATTTTTTCCCGGCTGATTGGGGGGGGGGCAGAGGTAGTTGAGAAGCAAATCAATGGTTTAACAGTTTAACTATGGTGATACAAAGATGGATGAAGCGGATGGTGGGTTTAAGTATTGAGATTACGGGGCGTGCCGGTATTCAGTTTACTAGGAAAATAATCCGTAATAGGGATTATTAAAAGCGGGCAACGAATAGTTGGGATTATTAATATCAAATTTTCCTATTTTTAAAATTGAACAGGAGAGCGACCAACCCAATGAGGTAGTAATTTTTAAATATACCCACGCCAATGTTGTATTTGGAAAATTATACACTCAACCCGGCCAATGTTGTATTAAATTTTTCATAGAATCCTTCTAAACCTATTATAATATTTGTTCATGATAAAATCAACATCCTTAATTGGATGAGACTCGAACGCACGACTTTCTCTATAATCGATCGATAATGATGTCACCAAATCATAAAGTATTTGACTATACGGAGTATTGGATATGCCACAATTAGTTACCAAGTTTTAGAACGGCAGGTGAGCAATCCACTTGAATCAAATAATTCTTTTTCTTTCTGAATATAGAAGTATTGGATGTTCAATTGTTGGGCAAATACATTACATCAATTGCCAAGTATTTGTGGCTTTTGAAAATCCCTTATCTATTCAATTGCAGCTGCCAAATAAGGATAAGTGTATTTCACTCTTTCCATGCCATGGCAGAATATTAGGGGTGGGAGGGGAGAGGGGGAGTACTTATAAAAAACCGTGGCATAGAAATAGTGGCAATATGGTTTACTAGCAGCCTAACTGATGTCTAAGGAATTTTTCAATATATGTAGTATCAGGACTTTACCAAACTAAATATCTTTAATTTTTATAACTTTCTTAAAATACTTTGCATCCCATTTTTAAATTACTTAGTATCAGCTCTCCAGTCTCATAAAAAGTTATTAAAACCAAGTGAATATTTAAACTTTGGAGATAGAATGGGGTTGTAGTTAGAATTGGGTTATAATTTTCAAGGCGAAAATACAAATTTTCTCAAATAAACTCCGTATATGGTGCACCATCGAATTTAGCTACAAAACATTAGGCGCACCTTCAATTATTCTTTCTCTTACTAATGAGTTTCCACCACTAGGATTTTCTTCCACTATCGTTTGTAACGAGGAGCGCCCGCTGCAGACGGGGTTAGGCATACATGGTTCCTTTTTCCTTCATTAATTGTGCGGCTATTTTTTAAGGACATGCAATTCTTTCTAACTTATTATAGTATATGTTCTATGTTAAGGCCAACATTGGTCCTTAAACTCTTCCTTGAGGTGCACTAAGTTACTTGGCAATCATATATCTTCATTAATTAGTTGAAAAATAAGATGTACATCAAACACCGTTAACAAATACTACTCCCTCCGTCCCAATTTGTTTTGCAAAGTCAACATTTTTTGGTCAACTAATAATAAAAGTCAACCTTCTTTATGCATAATTAATTCAATTTTTAATAAATAAAATTTACATATTCATAAACTACATCAAAATCTCTTCAAGGTTGTAAACTCCAAATTAGAATATAATTAAAAATTGTCATCCTAATTAAGTGAACAAAATGCAACTGTTTGACCAAGAAAAGTCAAATTTGCAAATCAATTCGGGACGGAGGTAGTACTTCCTCCGTTCCTTTTTAATTGCAACAGTCAACATTTCACGTTTGCCGACGCACAAGTTTGACCATTAATATCTTTCATTCTTTATTAGTAAAAAAAATTAAAAAATTCATATTTTGAAAATTTAGAATGAGAAGAAATTAACAATATTTTTTAAAAAATTTAATTCATTATACATCAATTAATAAAATGTAGTCAAAGTAGAACATGTGAATAGTGCAAAAATTCCAATGTTGCAACTAAAAGAGAACGGAGGTAGTATAACTTTTCTTTTAATTTTATTTTGCCAAAATTGACAAAATAACTTAGCTAGAATCCCCAAGTCTATTCAAATTAATCCATCTGCTAATTAAATTAAACGAGTAATAAAACGGCTAATCAAAGATTAAAGCTAGACTTCAATTTCACAACCCTACACATCACCGGTCCATCCAACATGGCCACAACCCTATCACCACTTGGTGTTTCTCTAAACCCAATCTTTACTTCATCACAAGTTGCCTTTATGTAAAATGCATTCTCGTCTTTTGTCCCGACTTGTGCCCTAACCCTAGTTTTCACATTGACTGTGAATGTATAATCCACCGTCCATTGCAGATCGGACGGCACGAATAAATCAGTCGCGGCCAGCAACACCGGCTTTTTCTCAAGGCTACCCTGCAAGACGGTTTCGAGGTTGGCTCGCATTAACGTCTCGTTCCGGCCGCCCCAGACAACTGATGCCTCGATCTCATTGTACTCATATAGTACTCTAGTATAATCATAACCGTAGACACCACACTGGTTGTTGTTGTCGAACGCAAACGCGACGGTGCAGTTGGCGGTGAGCGGCGGAGGTTCCGTTGCCGTGCTGTTGCTGCCGGAGGTGGTGGGTCTAGCTGAAAGTGTGAAGGCGTATAGTAGATGCGAACTTTCGGAGGCTGCACGGTGGATGTAGTAATAATTATAATTATGGCAACCCAACCAACGACGGCTAAAATCATCATCATTACATTAATAACTGCTGCATCACCCTGATCACGGCGATATGAACCCATAGCCAGTAAAGTATGTACGCCGCATTTATAGGTGATTCAGTCTTTCATCATAGGGTTCGTTGAGTTTTAATTTCGATCTCGGAGTTCATGTCCTTTCAGAAGACGGTTACTGTGTTTGGAATGAATTACTCCGTATATATTCTTCTCACTAGAAAACAATTAAAATAAGAATTGGAATTGGTCTGTTTGTGATAATTTCCGTAAATTAATGTGAAGTATGGTCTACTAAGCCATGTTCTGTACAGGTTTAGTACAAATTACAAAGCAAATCGTTAAATGAGACTCAATTTTGAACAAATACGTTATGGGGCAATTGATCTTTTTAGCAAGTTTCATTCTAACTTTGTACGTATGGCGTTCAGAATTCAGACCTCGTACTATAAAACAAAATTTTAGGTGGTAATTAGCTGTTAGCTAGTGGTTGATAATTGATTAGTTTAGCTGTTTTGACCGGCCGATAATAACAACAGCTGGTATGATCGGTTGATAGCATTGGATATTTATAGAAAAGTGTTTGATAAATTCAAGTGTTCATTTTTAGTTGATAGCATGTAAATTGACATTTGGGACATGTCCTAACATAGTGTTCTAATACAAGCAATATTGACGTTTAGTCAACACTACTAGAAAAATGGCTTATAATGACACTTTTATAGTGACACTTTCTGATAAAATGATTTTAATGGCATGAAAGTGTCACCATTTTCTAACAAAAATACATGAACATCATATAATGACACTTTCATTTTTTACGGAGTATATTTAAAGTCCCGCGTCACTATTCATATTAGTTACGGGCCGGCCTGCTAGAGTTTATTATACGGAGTAATACACTTCCCATTTTTTTCCTCTCCCGTTCCAGACTTAACACACATCCGCTCAACTTTCCTTCTTCTAACCCTAACTCCTCTATCGATCGATCGATTTTCGAATCGAATGCCCAGCCGGTAGATCTTGTCTGCAATTTTCTTCTTTCGCCCACCATCATCGAACTTGTTGAACATAGTAGCGCGCTGAAGCAGGTCGTCTCCTCCATTGGGCAACAGATCGCCACCGCCTTCGCTCCTCCGTCTCCTTTGTCGCCTCCATCAATTCCTTGGCCGTGTCTGTAGCCGTCATCATTGTCTTAGGAAACCCAAGAATTTCTGACCGCTGCAGTGCCTGTTGAAACCCCTCCTCTCGACGAACCGCTTAAAGGAAATCCGTCCGCTGCAACCATCGCTACGGAGTGCTCACGAAGCTAGAATTAAACCGTGGATTCCCATTTTGCCTGAATATCACCCAGTTCAGCTTCACTTGAGGTCTTGCCGGCTTAATCCACCTGAAAATTTAAGGCTTTCTCAGATTGAAAGCTTGAGGTATCAACCCTAACTTTTTTAACCTTTCATTTCCTGTTGAGATTTTCATTCCCCAATAATCATGATAATATTGTTGAGTATGGTTCCAACCAACAATTTTCATTGTCTTTTAATTTACCTTTATATTAAAAGATGAGGAAAGGAGCTAGTTGGATAAATTCCAACGTATAGTGGAGGTATGGGTTCATTTTTGGATTTATCTCTTTATTGGCCCACTAATGAATACCTGGGTATTGTTTTGTTGGCTTCTATTTGGAGAAGCTTTAAAGAAAAGAATAAGGATGATTTTACTAATTGGCTGGTCTGGTCTCATCTGGTCTGGTCTGGTCTGAACTGATCTGGTCTGGTCTGGTAAGGTCTAGTTTCTTTGTATTTTTATAACTATCCAAGTCTGGTCTGGTCTGGTCTGGTCTGGTCTGGTCTGGGACAAATTACAGTCCAAGTAAAAACATCCTAATTCTTTTTGTTAAATGAATAGAAATGAAGCGGCAGGAGTTATGTTTTTTCTTTGGTTGGTTTGTAACTGCCGTATTACTCTTGGAGAAAAAGGAGGTCAAGCAACAGGGGTTTATTTTTATGCACATACACACCAAAGCAGGCATCCTCTTCTCGGTGAGTGAGTTTTCTGCCAACCATTTTGAAGATAACATCAGGCTACCTATTAGGAAGAAAACAACAAGCTGCCTATTTTGGAGTTGATGTCCTTTTTGATATTTCATATTGTTATTGATTACGGGTAGTTGTTTGTTGTTAATAGATGTGGTATTTCAAGTTGGGGTCATAAACTTGGGATCTGAACTTTGTAATTTTGCTGCTTGATATAGTGAAATTACTTGCTGGTTTGGCCCGTGGTTTTTCCCTTCTACACTGGAGGGTTTTCCACGTAAATCTAGTGTCTCTATTTTGCATTTGCTTTTAATCAGCTTATTCATATGATTAGTTTTGGTATTATTCATCATACACTTGTTCAGTAAATCAATCCTGGTGGGTATTGTGGGTCCAACAAATATATCCAAAATATTGGAATTTACAATGAAATATTCATGATAATATATCCATACAAATTTAATTACATTTCATAATACTTCAATTTCAATTCTATATTTAAGAAAAATCTGTTCAATCAATCCGATCAAATTAATTAAATTATTATAATTTCCTTAATTCAATTATTAAGGAAATTGTTGATAAATTAGTGATTATACGATATGGACCTGTTGTATATACTGCTAAGATATATGCAGCTCGAGCAAATTAAACTTGAAGTCAATGATATATGAGGGCTATCAAGTAGGTGGGGTTCCAGGGGATCAGTTAATGACTACTACCGAAGTAGAAAACTTTCCAGGATTTCGAGATAGAAATTTGATGATCACTTTTTACACTTGAACTTTTCACTAAATGTATTTTAATTTATTCTGCCTTTGTGGACGCATGCAACTTTAAATCACTTCTGTATATCTTTTTCCAGGATGTGGCGGCAAACAGAACATTGGGGAGCTGAACTGTATCACAAAGATGTGGAATTCATTGATGTAAAGAGTGCTCCTTTTATTAAATTTCTGGATATGTATAAAAATGCATCTAGTTTCAAGTTAAGTTTTTGTTCTGATTTTTTATTACACCATGTTATCACACCATGTTTTTGCAGCGTGAGCCTCTTGCTTATGTAAATTTCTGCCCCATGTTTTTGCAGCGTGAACTATGTCATTAGGTGCGGATACTCCACTGACCTTGTCATTCTTTTCATACTTGTTGTTGTCATTGGTGTACGGAAGCCTCTTCATTTTTAGGCACCAGAACAAAATATTCGTAGTATGATTTATTTACATGCTTTTGTAATGCGAGAGACTATATGTTGACTACTGATCTAAATTGATCCATTTTATAATTTGTGAAATAGGATTCTTTTATTGGGACAAAACTCTTGAGTCAGATAGTAAGAGTGCTTTTGGTACAAATCAGAGTCATTTTGCAACAAGTATTGCTTCATCAAATGAAGGTAATAAAATCTCAGATATGGCAATGTCGATTATTTATAAATTAAGGTCGTGCTTGGTGCACAGAAAATAAGGAAAGACAAAATGCTACAGAGTATGAATAATACATTTTCTTTTAATGTATCAGGTGAAGTTTTGAACAATATCAAGTTTGAACCAATTTTTTAATTTTCCCCATAAGTTTCTTTCCTTTAAAATGTCTTGTATACTTTCCAAATTTGCTCCCCATTTGTTCTCCTAGTACTTTACGGGCTCCAAACGTCTTCCAATGGATCTATTCTGTCAGACTAATAGAAAACATGCTCTCCTTGGGTTTTCTAAAGTTAGCACTCCAGTGTGTCACTCCTTTGTTCCCTCTTTGGTTCATAATTGTCCATTCAGATACAACTAGTTTATAAACATGGCATGTATTGCAGAAAAAAATAGATGTCTAGTACTCTAGTAAGGCTAGTCTGCTAGCCAATTATGTATGCCCAGCAGCTAGTGAGTCCAAATAGTATTATAAAGAATAGTTAAAATATATAGGTTGCTATCAGAAAATAATACTCCCTCCGTCCCAAAATCGTTGGCCAATGTTGACTTGCACGTGGATTAATAAAGTAAAAACTGTGTGGTTAAAATTTGTGCAGAGGAGAGAGAATTAACTTTAGCCACATATTCCTTACTTTAAATGGAAATGGCCAACCTTTTTGGGACGGCAAAAAAAGGAAATTTGGCCAACCATTTTGGGACGGAGGGAGTACTTTGTAGCATTAGTAGTAAAAATAAAACTATAAAAAGTATATTTGATCAAACAGCCTGCTCGGATATTAGCTAAGGTGTGCTACAGTTAGCATAGATTGATTCAATCAAATAAATCACGAAACGTTATGTATCAAATTATTTACCCAGATTCATCTCAATCCAAAAAGAGCAAAAACTTGCTACTACATTTATTTCAGGTGGCTCTAGACCTCTTCTGGGAGATGCATCAGTAATTATGGGAACATGTACTTTTCTTCGTATTGAGTAATGTTGGTGAGGTTAGTGGATCTAAATCCTCTTGGTTGCCTTATAGGGAAATATTTGTATTTTGATGACTATTTAAAGCCTCAAACCTGTATATGAGACAGGAGTTTTGTGCGAAGAAGAAAGATCTGGTTGAAGTTATATCAGGAGTTTTGGCTGGGGTCAATCACGTTGCTATCCAATTTCCTGCATATGAGCATATCAAACCTTATTTTGCAAAAAAGGGGTAAGAATTTTTCCAATCCTTTATTTTGTTGTGTGAAAATGTTTTTCTTGTCTTTCTTTTTCAGAGTAGTTGTGTTGACTGGAAATTTTCCAGATGGCAAGTGTACCAGTGATCTAGGAGCTGGAGAAGTTGCAGGTGCCTCTTCATTGGCCAAAAAAGTTGCCTCTGTAATGAAGTGTACCAGTGATCTAGTAGCTTTTTGTTCTTTATTATTTTTTGTTGTGGGGTATGCCCCTTTTAATAATGTAGTATGCACATTCACATGTATGTGAGAATTTTAGATATATAATAAAAATGTTTGAAATTTTTGGTTATTTATTACTATATTAGTATTAAATTATATAAGTGTGTGTGTATTGCAATCAATGTATCATGTGTATGCTTTTATAGTACTAGCGTGTCATTGAGTTTGGCGATACCGTAGTGTCACTGAATTTTCTGATGTCGTAGTGTCATTGAGTTTTGTGATACCGTGGTGTCACTAAGTTTTGTGATATCATAGTGTCATAATTTGGTGATACAATAGTGTCACAATTTGTGACACTTTGAGTGACACTTAAAAAGTGTCACTATTTGCCACTTTCATTGACACTTTTTTAGTGTCACAGAAACTTTCAGTGACACTAATTTGGTGTCACTGTAGGGCATTTTTCTAGTAGTGCAAGTAAAATTGGTGCTTTGAATAAATTAAAACTTTTCAAGTATTTTACAGTGGTAATATCACTACAAAAAATTCACGAGATTAACACGAAATTTGGTACGGATTTATCAATTTTTCGTGCCAAATAGCTCGTGCCAAACTGCTTTAGCACGGATTTGGCATCTCAAAATTATCAATCCCCCCCCCCCCCCTTCTTTTTACCACTCAAGCATCTCAAAATTATCATTTTATTAAAAGAAAAACTTTTTTATGGTTCTGTACTTCCCGAACCAAAACTATAGCTTCAATGATTAATATCCCGAAGTAGTCGCGAAAGCTGATTCTAGTTTGGATTAGGAATTCTTCCTTCCTTTTTGTTTTTGAAATTGAGCTTGAAAGGAACAATTATTCCTAAAAAGATGACCATCAGTCTCCTTCAATCCTTGAACACAATTTATTAATTGGAACTAATAGCCTTAATATCTAGAGGGAAAGAAAAATCTTCTTGTGTATAAGTCTTTTGTGAATAAGTTACTACGTATATTATAAGTTTAGTAACTAAATCTTCTAGGAATCTGGAACGAGCTCGCAGGCACATGACGTCAGACACCAGGTGCTCGATATGTGGGGATGGACCGGAATCGACCCTGCATATTCTTCGCGATTGCCCCTTTGCTAGAGCGACTTGGGCAGAAATTCTCCAGCACGAATCAAAGGAGGAACCGGTGGATACTTTCCTTCACCAAGACCTTAGATCATGGCTTATGCATTATATCTCAGGGCGCGGTGTTGCTATTGACAGTATTCTTTTTGCAGGAACTTGTTGGCTATTGTGGAAAAACCGGAACAACCTCGTGTTCAAGGGAGACCTTGAGAACTATGCACAAATCCATTCTCACACAAAACAACTCAGGAAACAAATTCTTGATACTTTTGAGAAGCAGAATCTTGTATTTGGAGATGGGAGGCGCAAAGAAGAACGTCTTATCCGATGGAAACCACCACCAGCAGGTTGGACATGTATAAATACGGATGGGTCAGTCATTCAATCTCCATCTAGTACGGCGGCAGGTGGCATCGTGAGGGGAGAGGATGGGCGCTTCATCAAAGCTTTTGCAGCAAACCTAGGAGGAGGCTCAATTACCCATGCAGAGCTGGTTGGAATTGTGCATGGACTCAAGATCGCTTGGGAACAAGGGGTTAGGAAGGCTATTCTGCAAACTGATTCTTATGTAGCCATGCAATTGATTGAGAGTATCACAACACACCACCCGCACTTTTCCTATGTTGCTGAAATTAGAAGACTCTTAAATCTTCCTTGGGAAGTGCGCATCGAGCATGTTTATAGAGAAGCTAATTTTGTTGCTGACTACTTAGCTTCGCTAGGCCATTCGCTGTCTATGGGGTTGCATCTTTTCGATCTCCCTGTTCAGTCCCTTGGATTTTGGTTGTACTTTGACTTATTAGGGGTTGAAACACCTCGTATTATTATTAATGGATAAGGGTTGGGGCGCCCTTTAGTGCTCCGTTTTCTTTACCAAAAAAAAATCTTCTAGGACTCCCTCTAGAAAATCAGTATATAAGTTAATTAACATTAAAATGTCAACATTAAAAAGAATTGTTTGCTTAGTTTCAAATTTTCATGTTTTGTAAATACAAGACATCATAAATGATCTGTTTAACAAAATTTGACATTGTCATACCCATAATTGTTTGACACGAAAATATCTGAAAACAAACAGTCAAGACGAAGAGGTGAACTATCACTAAGTCTGTAACTTTATACTAATTTCAATTTTTTCACCCTTTTCTATAATGTTTTGGAGACTTATTATCTCTTTGCTTCCTCAATTAGTTGTAGGATGATTAGAAAACAAAATGTTATGGGTAAATTTATTTATTAAACCCTTCAACCCTTCACTAATCAAAATGTGTTATAATATAACATGTATTCTATAAGAGACAAAAATAATAGTTTAATCATAACAAAATGCTATGGATATTCCACAATATTGTTTCTTCTAACTTTAATCTTCTAACTATATAACCCAGGAAGTATTGTTTGTTCATAGTGGTAAAGTTTATGTAGCCTTCTAAAAATAAGGAAGTAAAAAAGTAAAACATAATTCCATAGAAAGTGAAAATGATGACCTACTAAATCATCTGGTAATAAATTATGTGGGGTTGTATCTAAGACTAACTTAGACTAAACAAAGAAATTCTCCGCATAAATTCTAACTCAGAATCTTTCTTTTACACAGCCTCTTTATTATGCTCTTTAGATATCAATTGCAAATAATAAATTGATCAAGAAATCTACACGATATCTTTCAAAAGAATATCTAACATTATAGCTGGGACCTTCTTACCGGTTTCATATTCTTAACTCGACTAATACTATTTTACTTAATCAAAAGTCGCATAGTACAACTTACCCAACTTTTCGGGTTTAAGCCTTTCATTTGTTGACGACTTTCAACATAAAAAAATTTTTTAGTGCCCAACTTTTACACTCTTTATTCCCATCAATACTTCTATTACTCAAAATACACTTTAAAACTTATTTTTAAAAAATATGCATTTGCATGACCACATACTTTTCAATAACATTATCATTGATCATATATTAAAATCATGTTTGACCACCGGTATCAAATATTTGAATAAATTATCACATAAGTAATATTTATGAGGTGCCCTCCCATCAACACAAGATTCCAAGTATGAAATACCGACATTCAACACTCTAGAACAAATATCATGCAACTTAAGATAATGTTCATAAAACATTCAAATCCACTATTTAAGAACTTTTGAAAGTCAAGTTTGTGATGTAAAACACAGATGAAAGTCAAACTCAAATTGCATTTGTTAATAATTTTAGCGGTAGAAGATAATGATATAAACCATCATACATGTAAAAGTAAATAGAAATATTTTAGTTACTACACTCTCATGCATTGTTATGATGAAGGTACTAATAGTATTAGTCTTTATAATGAAGCCACAAGTAGACATCCTTCAAAGATATTATTTAGTAAATCAAGGTTTCATCTCAGCCTTGATAGCCTCAACTAAGTGGTCATATGCCATTCCCCATGCATCACTCATTTCTGCAGACCACATTTCTGGTATGGCAGTTTTTATGGTTTCCAGTAATGCATACCTAGTCACCTGCATATGATATACAAAAAATTATAAACAACAATTTACACTTTTTTTACATATTAAATCTGATTCGGGAGATATTAGAAATGTATATGAAATTAGATCACAAACAACTCATATGTGTGGTGAGTATGTATAGAAAAAACTCATAAATTGTTTGAATATACAACAATTTTCAATGAAACGCATTAATTTACAGATTACAATCGACTATTGTCTATATATAAAAATATATATGGAGACCCCGAAATCATTCACGTAAGTAATTATTGTTTGTGAACCATCACAAATTTCTCAACCACGTGCATTTCAAAATTTTCTACATCATATTCATAGTCATTTTGCTACAATAGTATTTTGAAATAGCTCAATGCCTTTTGGTCAAACATTATTCAATAGAAAGTAGGCTTGTACATTAGGTGTAATTTTACATGCAGTATTTTTGTAAGTTTAGGGGGTCTCTATAGGATTTTAGAATTTCATGACAATCTAGTTATCACCAAAATAAATTATTGAAGATTCCTTTAAATTCTATGAACTGTATGATCCAACATTTACATGGAATTGAATATCTAAATAACACCAATCCATTATTCCACTCATTATCATCCACAATCCTTCAAAATCTGGCACCATCTTATTTAACATTAGCTCATCATTCCGGAACTACAAGATTATTTTTCTATCATCAAATATACTTTTTCACTCTTTTTTAATTCAATACAGTACTTATTTGAATAAAAAGATGTTAATTTTGTATTTGTAAAAAGCATTTTGTCTTAGTTCAATGCATAATTTATCATTTTATTTTAGATATACTCGAAGGTAGAAACAATATACATCCAATATATAATGCACGAATTAGTAGGAAAGCATAAATTACATGTAGTAAAACGCATTTAGAGAAACATTCTTGTAATCATTACCTCAAAATGTGCATCCACAATGCCATACTTGAAATGAGTGGCCCCTAACCTTTTTAATGTGGATTCCCTTACAACTACTTTTCCCTCTTTCCTCAGCTTCACCGCTGCTTCACATGTCTACATTCACGCACACATCATATATATTAAAGTCAGGATTAAATAAACATAGTTAATAAAATGTTAAACATGAATACTATTAAAATGTATGATTAATTAATAAATTGATTCAAGTAATACACAATATATCTCTGTAATTAAGGCTTAAATATATGAGTTGTGATTAAAAGGCACACATTGTTTTACACTTAAATAAATATATTGTACCATAACGAAGACAGTTTTGGCGTGCGCCTTAAGTTTTGCATTTTGATCGAGTGGGACATCTCCGGCATCCCTCAGAAAAGAGAACAACTCCTTAGTCGATGGTGCAATTTCAAATATCCTGAAAATGCACCAAAAATATTATAGAATGATTTCATATCTTAAGTAAACTATTTTCAGCGTATTAACTAAATTTTTATCAAACACGTATATTTTGACTTTCGTTCTAAAAAAAATTATGGATACTTATCTAAATTAAATTTGACGAACTTTTTATTACTCTACATTCACAATTTTTTGTTGGATTCTCGTATAGTTTCTTGCCTTTTTAGGTTAGCACGCTAAAACAACAACATTCTACTTAATTTTCTTAAAACTTTTGACTAATCCAATTGTAATCACATCTATTATAAAGCTAACAACAATCCAATCCCGTCCATTAATCACATCTCATACCTTATTTGGTAAACTTTGTGTGGCTCAAAATCATTCTTACTTTATTCTTACTTTATCAATTAATATCAACCACACAAACTCACTTTTCTTAAAAACCCGTGCCACCATCTCCCGTCCCATTTAAAAGGGGACGGAGGGAGTACAACATTGAGAGTTTTGCACTATTCCCATATCTTACTTTGATTACGATTTTTTATTAGTATATATAATAAAATTATTATTTATAAAATGTTATTAAATTTCTATTTATGTAAATGTCGAAAATGTTAAATGTTTTTAATGTTCACAAATACGTTATTAAATATAATTATGGTAAAAAAATATAATTACGGTCAAAGTTATTCGTTGGCCAATGTGACCGTCAAAGTATTACAAATTTTAAAGAACGGAGAATAGTATATCCAATATTGGTGACCTATGATCATAAAAAGTTATGAATTACTCCGTATCACTTTCAAGAAAATTGGGGTTTCAAACTTTCAAAGCTTTCTCAAGCCCCCCCCCCCCCCCCCCCCCCCCCCGATGTTCAGGCCTCCTCTCCATAGATCTTATTTTTTTTACTTTTTGGATAAATAACTAGTGAATACTTGGTTTCAGCACCATCTATCCGTTACCCACCATTTTTATACTCCTTTTTTAGGGTTGCACAAGAGTAGAGATGAATAGCTTAATTTTAGCCTTTTCTCCCCATTGGCTGCAAGCAGCCTAATCAATATATATAAAAAGAGGAACTTTTTAAGAGCATACGGAGTGTTACATAACCTTGCCATGTCATCATTATTTTAATTTACGTATTTATAATTTTGGTCAGACTAATTTGGAAAGAAATAGGAAGAGAATGTAAAAACATATATTCGGAATCACTATCCGTATGTCATAAATTGGAATCATATCTAAAAATGTCGTATGGCCAGATTAAATTGGAATAATTTAAGGCTTTACGCATATTTTGGGATCACTATTCGTATGTTTTTAGGTTTCTATATTTGAAATTTAAAAACATAAAAATTACATAGAGTTGAACACTTGATAATATTATAAGAAGGAAGAGAATGTAAATACTTCTGACGAAGTAGCTCACCTTATTTAATAAGGATGAAAATTGATATCATACATAAATACATACATGTATATATGTTTTCACAAGTAAATACATTTACCCCTAGCCAAAAAAGTAAATATGTTTGGTTATATATTTATTTTACAACTACAATTTATACATGCCTTCACTTTTGAAATAGATTCCTAATCCAAATTAGAAAATCTTTACATGTTCACAAATACCTACTTTTATTTTAAGAGAATTTTTTAAATTGAATTGATTTCAGTTCCAGATTAAATCAGATTAGATCAAACTTTAATAATAACAATAATAGTAATAGTTATAGTAATAGTAATAGTAACAGTAACAGTAACAGTAACAGTAACAGTAACAGTAACAGTAACAGTAACAGTAACAGTAACAGTAACAGTAACAGTAACAGTAACAGTAACAGTAATAGTAATAATAATAATAAGTCACACAAAATGTAAAAGAAACATCTACCAGAACATATTAATTCATACCAAATCAAACCCAAAATTTTAATCCAATTAAAGACGTCCTTATTAATGAGTAAAATGTAAGATCTCACAATTAAATTTTAAAATGCATGTGTATTTCATACCAAGTTGAATGAGAAATACTAGAAAAGTATTATTTTTAAATGCGCAATAAAGTAATTTAGATATTCATAAGAATAAAAAATTGTTTTCAATATAACAAAATAATGAGTAAAATGTAAAAAAAACTCCATTTTTTACATTTACAGCGTGACAAAATAATGAGTAAAATGTAACATCTTATTATTAAAAGTTAAAAGTATGCACTCGTTATTTCATATCAAGTTGAATAAGGAATAGTAGAAGAAAACGCTTGAGGTGCATATTAAAGTAATTTAGAGGACGTGAGATTATGAATTCTTTAAAATCGGATTCATAACGATTATATTTACTTGAGATGCTTATGTAGAAGATCAATTTAACTATTTTTCATATAATCTTTTCTTGGCTTCACAAATGGAATATATTTTACATATTTTTTTCATGATTCAGGAGATTTACCTATTCAGCCCATTCAGTCAGAATTTAATCAATTTCAGTAAAATAAGTTAATTTGATTTATTTTAGTATTATCAAACAAGGTCTATATTAGACTAAGTTTATTTTTCTTTTAAATCACATTACAAATTATCCAAAACAAATCAAATTTTATATTAGCTAAATTACATACTTTCCGTGCATTGCACGGGCTTGAAAGCTAGTAGGATAATATTAAAGAAAAGTAAAGATATTTAGATTGTTTCGTAATGTCTTCACTCTTCATTTTAGAAAATACAAAATGAAGCCACAAATTATAAGATACTGGGAAGCATTGGGTCTGCCCAGATGGCCCACTACTTTTCTGCAAGGTTTGGACTCATGGGCCGACAAGCAGATTGCTACGTGAATTCTTTTGGGCTGGTAATGATGGCTAGTGGCTAGTGGCTACCCCGAAATGCGAGCTTGACTTTTGCTATACTATTTGGCTAAGATTCTTTAGTAGGGGTTGATACAAATCAGGAAAAAAAAAGGATTTCCATATTAGGGGTAGGGGTTGGCTACCCCGGAAAAGTCAAACGGGAAAAAATGGAGAAATAGTGGTTGATACATATCAGAAAAAAAAAGATTTTGGCATTAACTAGAACATGTATTATAATAGGTTTAGAAGAATTTCCAAAAAAGAAAAACAAATCAGAAAAAAAAAAGATGAAATAATGTTGGCAGGTTGAGGGAATATGCGTTTTTTCAGTGCGATTTCATTTAAAAAATGAAGTGAGAATGTGAGATATTATAAGAAATTACAAAAGAAAAAAGAATAGAATTAGGATGTTCTTACTTGGAATGTTTTTAATCCCAAATCAAATCAGACCTGAACAGTTATAAAATATACAGGAACCAGACCAATAAATTCCAGTCCAAGTAAAAACATCCATAAGAAAAGATGGATAGTGTAGTTATTACTTCAAGAACAATTTGAGACTCCAATCTCCGGCGTCCTTCTTCATTGATTCCCAAGACTTGACCACCAAAGCTTCCTGCTCTTCTGTGAAACTCATGCTGTTCTTCTCTGTTAATTCTTAGCTATGGAGTATATGTTTAAATTGTTGATGTATTGAACAGAAATGAGATGTGATCTGATGTATATATACAGCACAAAAAGGGTGAGATACAGTGCTGACCCTCATGCCTCTTGGTGTGCTTGGAGAGCCAAATGATGCTTTGACCCATCCAATGCAATTGGTAATTACACCGACAACACCTTAATTTAATATGTCTGTAAAACAAATTCCAAGTTTAATATGCTTAATCATTATCAAGTTCACATATCTATTACATCCAATTTCTTTCATTAAAATATCGAACTCATCAATTTAAATAATCGTACTTTGCCTTCCCGATCTTTCAAAGTATACTAGTATAAGGTATGCCAACATTTAATTTTTATTTATTTATTTATTTTTATATTTTTTTTTCAGCCCAGGGGCATCGGAGGAGGGGAGTTTGGGGTAAATTGGAATCAATCACATTCTATTGAGAATTAAATCTGGGACCTTCCATAAGGGAGAGTGAGTCGGCGACCAATTGGGCTGGACCGTTTTCTCGCCAACATTTAGTTAAACTGGTATTTAATTAAGAAATAGTCATATAATTTTAATTAAAATAAAGATTGTAAATATATGATATTTAAGTGTAGTGACTATGGTAGTGATTATAGTTATAATAATTTGTGTTCAGTTTTTGCATTTAAATAATCATGACATTAAATTCATAGTAAATGTAATTACGTTTTTAAAATAAGCTCTATTTTAGTACTTTATTCGTCCATAAAACTTGACCAAATTTATGTCAAGTATTAAAATAATGGATCATTTAATATATATTTCAAATGATTAGTACTATATATTACGCGGCTAAAGGGTCAAATAGGTACATGAACTAACCTAAAGTGTTCAATTAGCCCCTTATATAGGAGTTTCTGCCCGGACGTCGCCAATTGGGGCGGTTCCCGGTGGAATTTTTTGATGAATTTTTTTGAACATCTTCTTCATTAAATCTAGTGTACCCAGACCAAATTTCAGCTAAAAATTCAACCGGGAAGGCAGTCGAATAATTCGACTGCCTTCCCGGTTGAATTTTTAGTTGAAATTCGGTATGGGTAAACTAGACTTAATGAAGAAGATGCTCAAAAAATTTCATCAAAAAATTCCACCTTTTGTATATAAAGAGAGAGATAGCCAGGATGTTGAGGTCCGAAATTCGAAGTGAAATTTTTGCCGAAGGCAGGGTTAGTGACTGGAGTGAAGTCGTAACTTCTTTAATATAGACCAACGATAGCCGCCGTCTTGTGGTCTCTAGGCCGGGAACCGCCCCAATTGGCGACGTCCGGGCAGAAACTCCTTTATAAGGGGTTAATTGAACACTTTAAGTTAGTTCATATACCTATTTGACCCTTTACCCTATATTACGCTCATATGCCGTGAAATTGATTTTAGTTTCACCAATAAATTTCACCAAATATATTGGAGACATATATTTCGTGAATATATATTAGGCTCATATTCGTCCATTAGACTAATGGATTTAAGTTTGACCAAGAAATTTTAAGTATTTTCCTTTTATTATCATTTCTTATGCTTTAATGTATCAATACCTGTTTCTAGAGCACTTCAATTATAAAATCGAAGTTATTTTGCAACTGTCTAAACTTAAAATGTAGTATATTTAAATGTCGTCATGCATGTATTAATGGATTTTTATAAATGAAATTAGCCGCAGAGTCCTACACTAGCGGAAAAAATTCGTCCCCCTAAACTACCGAATAAAATTCGTCCCGTTACACTAGCGAAAAAATTTCACCCCTACACTAATGAAAATTTTCGCCCCCCTTAACTAGAAATCCTGGATCCGTCCCTGCTTCACATAACTTATTCTAACAAAAATTATATAAAACTATAAAAAAATAAAATTGTCTATAATGTTGTAAAATCTAGTAAATGACAAGTGTGAATTGTTCATCCTTATCATTAGGACATCAAACTATTCTTGATCATGTAATCATCCGTGTAACCTAGTTAGAATAGATTGCTCAATTTGTTATTGCCACCAAATATGTAGATTCCTCCTGTAGATTATTAATCATCAAGCTCAAACACTATAAATAAAAGCTTGATGAAGTTTTATAATCAAAATATCTATTATAAATTTATTCTCCTTCTTTTTCATTTCACAACATGTTATCAACAGCACGAATCAGATCAAACTCTTCAAGAAATCGTCATCTCCTGCAGATTTGGATCACTCAAGTAATAAAGGATTATGTCTGATAGGCAGCGCTATAAGGCACACCAATTTGAGAAATAAAATATATTTTCCTGAAATAACTTTAGTTGAAGCTAAAGTCAATACAATATCAGGTGTTGCAAAGCTCATTGGAGGTTTTGGGAAAGCATATGTGATGCTTCATAACCTAGAGCATTATACTCCAGCAAATCGCGGAGAAATTTGTTAAGTCTTGAAAACTTGCATCAAAATGGTTATTACATAGAAATAATGAATGAAATTCAAAATGAATATCACTACTAGAATAATAGTTATTTGTTGCGGTCATTTTTACCTATTTAATGTGGTTATGAATAGGGGTTGGACCGGTTCCGGGCCAACCGGCCCGTGGCCCGGCTTGGCCCGCCAACCAGGCCTTGGACCGGTCCGGGCCGACCCAAACCGGGTGTTACCTAGATCGGGCCTGGGTCATGTTTAATAGGAACCGGCCTAGCCGAGCCAGACCCGGTTTGGGCCCTTTTTTTCATTTTTTTTTTGTTTTTCTTGGGTTGGGCTGGGTGTTTTAGGGGGGTTTGGGGGGTGGGGGTGAGGGGGGGGGGGGGGGTCGGAGGTTAATAAGAAAAGAAAAAAGAATAAAGAAAAAATTGAACCAGCCCTGCCTGGACCAGGTGGCATCCTAGGCCAGTTCCGGGCCTTCTTCCCCCCAAAAAAAGCCCGGTATGGACCGTCTCGGAGCCCAACCCGGCACGAAACCGGTCCAACCTAGTTATGAACCGCAGCAATTAGCAGGACAGCAAATAGTAGGAAAACGTATTTGTTGTGGTTCAGAATCGCTTCAAATGGTCATTCAAAAATTGGTTTTAACTTATTGTTGTAGTTCAAAACTGCAGCAAATAGGTAGCAGCAAATAAACGTTTTGACTTATTGCTGTGGTTCTGAACCGCAACAAATAACTATTAATTTCGCAGCAAAAAACTCTCTAAAACATTGTTAATTGGTGCATTATTTTTGTTTTTCGATGCTACCAAAATTTATAAATATGATTTTATTAAAATATCAATTCGACAATTTAGATATCTCATTGATCAAAATCATAATTCCAAAACAAATTAAGTTATACATCACTATATCGATACAAGTTACTGCCTTTTGTAAGTTTATCACCACTAAAGTTTACAATAAATCATCGTACACTTATATGACCAATACATCACGAACTTGGAATTCTTCATCACTTGAAAATAGCTCATCTCTTTTGGTGCCCGGATAAACCTCTAAAATATTACAAATTTTAAATTACTATACATCTATACCACTCAAGAATGACTTGTATAAATAACTTAAATCATCTAGAAATTAGACTTCATTTGACCCCCAAACCCAATTTAAAAGTTCTAAATAATTAGACTCCATTTTTACTCGTCAAAATAAACTTAACACACCAAAGTATGGTTGGAAGAAGATACCATGATAAAACACCAAAATAAACCATATGCCTTATATTTCATAACTAATACAAATAGGATGGGGGATTACCTGCACAAATATCTAGCTAATTTCAGATTTTCAGTGTAGCCTCAAGCTCAAAGCTTATAGGTGAACTCCGCAAAAAAGATATCGGAATAAATTATATATCTTGTACACCATACAAAGATATCACTAATATAATATTTTAACCGGTTAACCATTTTAACGTAATAGTAACATGCACCAGCAGTGGCGGACCCAGAAAGTCGGAGCCACGGGGTCCCTACTCTTGTGTATCTCTAATTACTCTTGTGTATCTCTAATTGATAAAAAAAATACTCTTTATTAAAGAAGCATAACACTTCATAAATAATGTACACCATCAATACATGAAAATATTATAAAGCAACAAATTACACGATCAGCTTCCAAAGATACAAAATAAACCTGTTGTTCAGGTAGATTATCAGTTAAATTAGTTGCGCTTTCAGCAATTATTTGATCTAATTCTTTATTTATTAATGGCAAATCATTTGAATGAACACCTGAACTACTATCGGACTCTGAATTTATTTAAATTTTAGTACAACAACAAAATATCTTTTCATCCTAATTAAATCATATAATATTTAAAATAAAGTTTATAAATGCAAATATATTAATTTAATCTTTTTTTATTGAATCTTAACATTTAAAGAAAGAGTAAGGCCTTCATCCTGCGCTTGCTCCCATTCTACTACTATGGTGTTTTGTTTCACAGGTCGTTTTTATTATATATATACATTCTCTAATTAATTTTAAATAAAATATATATTATATATAGGTAATTTTTTGAAGTCCACGGGTCCCCCTTAGTGCGTCCGCCTCTGTGCACCAGGTCAAAGGAGCTTTAAGATATGGATTAATAAAAACATAACACCAACCTCTGAGCATTGTCTTGTATAAATATAATGAATTTTTATAATGCATTATGACACTATTGTAGGCTTGTAGCAATATTTAACTTCATTCTCTAGAACTGGATCTCTGTGTCCCATACGATATACAGTATCTGATAAATAAAAAACGGTAATGTACATTTTTACAAAAAAAAACACAAGACAAATGATCAATAGCAAAACACCGGCAAGACTTTGGACATAAAATGTACAGTCATTATGAATGAAAACTCATTATCCCCTAATCATAATATAACTAAAAGAATCTCTTTACCTTTATTATAACACCCTTTATTGTGTTTAGCACTCTTGTAAAAAAAATGTCATCACCTTTGTGATAAAACCCTTTATTGTGCTTAATGCTCTTGTGCATCCATCATATAGTCATTACATAAGTCATGGGCTCATATATAAGCCAAATTGAGACCTCCTTACCATCAATGCGCATACACTCCCATCCATTGCACCAGGCCAGCATACTAAAAGAGGTCACCAGTCAACCTAGTGAGTTCAAGTGCAGTGGAATAATGTGCATTGGCATCACCAGGTGATCCAGCCAACAAACAGTAATCCCCAAAAGTTTTTTGTGCCCTCCCAAGCTTCTTTTCTTTGCCTTGATAACCTATAAGTTAAATTTAATATAATGCCAACTTGCCAAGTCAAAATTCAACTATGAAACAAAAAAGTAGGGACTAGGGAGTGTGGATACCAAAAAAGAAAGTATTTCACCGAACAATATGAATGTTTTTACTTAGATTGTAATCTGTCCCAAATCAGACCAGACCAGACATGACCAGACTTGGATAGTTATAAGGGTACAAAGAGACCAGACATTACCAGACCAGACCAGACTAGACCAGGCCAGACCAGCAAATTATAGTCCAGGTAAAAACATCAGGTACGCTCTAAGTAAGAATAATTGGAAAACAATAAAAACAAACATCTAGAGCCTGTTTACTAACAGAGATATTTTCCAGTTTTCCAGAAAACTGGAAAACAGGAAAAGTGTTTACCAAAGAAAATTGCTAGAAAACTAAAGAAAGGAAAACAGAAAAATGCGTTTACCAAATCGCTTGCCAAAACACAAAAAATGAGACATGTCTCTCTTTTCCTTAATGATTTGGAGAAGTGGTTGTTACTAGTTTTCCAAATTTGGAAAATGTAGATACTACAGTGCCGCTGCAATGAATTTGCATACTTACGTCTAGTGGTGGATCTGGTCCCGCTCCGGTGTCGATTCCATTCTAGTCCCGTTCCGGTGTCAGTTCCATTCCGGTTAACAATCCTACGGTCCTTATTTGGTCTCATTGTTTAAAAACTCGCTTGGCGCTAGTCGGGCGGTTGAGGGGCGCCTAGCGCCTAGGCAGCCGACTAGGCCAATTTTTTACTGACTAGACCGACTAGGCCTCTACAGTTAGGGCCGCCTAGGCCGATTAATTGGTCCGCCTAGGCCAATTTTTTGAACAATGTTTGGTCTGGTTAACGACCCTACGGTCCCTATTTGGTCCGATCAACGACCCGGCCGTCTGGTTCGGTCATTGATGTGACGGTACATGTCCGGTCCGGCCGACGGCCGAGCAATCCTGGTCTGATCCGATTGAAGACTCGACGATCCCGGTCCGATCTTATCGAAGACCCAACGATCCCGGTCTGGTCTAGTCAACAACCAGACGGTCCCTATCCGGTCGAGTCCACGACCCGACAGTCCCTGTCCAGTCCGGTCCATGACCCCGCGACCTCTTTCCAGTTTGGTCCACGACCCGGTGGTCCATGTCCAGTCCGATCAATGACCCAACGGTCCTTTTTCCGGTCTTATCAATGACCCGATAATGGTCCATGTCCGGTCCGATCCACGACCAAGGGGTACCTGTTCGGTTGACAGGCGGGCTATCTCGGTCCGATCCAGTATGGTCAACTAATCGGTGGTCCCCATCTGGTTAGGGCAATGACCCGGTGGTCCCTACCTGGTCCGGTCAATGACCCGACGGTCCGGTCCGGTCATTTCCCCGGTGGTCCCTGTCCGGTCTGGTCGACGACCGAACAATCCCGGTCCCGTCCAGTCGATGACTCAGTGATCCCTGTCCGGTTCACGACCCGGCGATGCCCCGTCAAGTCCGGTCCACGACCCCACGGCCCATTTCCAGTCAAGTCCACGACTCGTCGGTCCCGGTCCGGTCCACGACCCGTCGGTCCCGGTTCGGTCGACGACCCATCGGTCCCTGTTCAGTCCCATCGATGATCCAACGATCCTTGTCCAGTTCGATCCGCAACCAGGCGGTCCTTGTCCGAGCCGGTCAATGATCCGGCGGTTCAATCTCGGTTTTTTTGAAATATCATTTTTTTAAGTGAAGAGTTTTAAAAGAGCGTTGAGTTGTCAACCTTTAGGGAAATGAGAAAAGAATTCGTAAAACTAACCGTTGAGATCGACCGGTACCGGTTAGTTTTGGTCGCGACTTTCCTATACGTGGGATCGGAGTTGGTACCCTACTTGGGTTGTACTAGGTTTAATTTCGGAACGGGACCGCACTTTTGGTCTTCTGGACGATCACAAAACTGGGTGGAAAACTTTGATGAACATGTTTTCACATTTGAAAATGGAAAACAAAAAAATAGAAACAAAAAATTGGAAATAGAAAAACTGGAAAATGAAAACAGAAAATTGGAGAACAAAAAAACATCTTTTGAAAACAGGCCCTTGATATCCTCCCAAATTGTCCCTTCATGAGCGGCATAATGGCATTTGAACAAATGAACAAACCAATACCATGTAAGCATTAGATCAATTCAATTCAGTTATATGATTAGTACTCCGTATTTGTTAAGGGTGAAAACATATGTTTGTTTGAGAGATTTGAGTATTTTAAAATATATTGTACTAATAGAAGCATGAAATTTCAAGAGGGGAGGAGAACTGAATACCAAATGTACAGAGCTTTTAGAAAATCAAAATCCTAGAGGAAGAATATTCTCTTCTTGAGCAGCCCTTCGAACTTCGAATGATGTTCACCCACTCCAGAACGAAAATGACGCGTAAATTGAAGATCCGTCGCTGGGCTAACGATAGTTGGCTCTTACTCCTCACTACGGATTATATACGGAGTACTTCCCTTTTCACGTTTGACAATGGACAACTTTCATCGTTATTATATACTACCTCCGACCCCCTAAGTTTGGGACAAGAGAAGGTGGCACGGTTATTAATAAAAGTGGGTTTATGTGGTAGATATTGAATTGATAAAGTAAGAATAAAGTATGAATGATTTAGAACCACACAAACTTTACCAAATAAGGTATGAGACAATCTTAGTGGGACGGGCCGAAATGGTAAAATGGGACAATCATAGCGGGACGGAGGGAGTACAATTCTCTATTAGTAAAAAACTTTAAAAAATCATATTATGAAACTTTGTAATGAGACAAATTCAACAATATTTTTCAAAAAAAATCATTCACATTCATTATTAAATAAAATGTAGTCAAAGTAAAGTACTTGAATGATGTGTAAAAACTTGTAAATTACTTCCTCCGTTCCTTTTTAATTGCAACAGTCAACGTTTTACGTTTGCCAACGCACAAGTTTGATCATTAATATCTTTCATTCCTTATTAATAAAAATCTACAAAAATCATATATTGAAAATTTAGAATGAAAAGAATTTAACAATATTTTTTTAAAAATTAATAATTTGTAATACATTAATAATAAAATATAGTCAAAATAAAATATGTGAATAGTGCAAAAAGTCCAATGTTGCAATTAAAAGAGAACAGAAGTAGTATTGATACGTAATTCATAGTCCGTACAATTGTTTGCTTAAAAATTGTAAATGAAATAATAAGAGAAAGCTTTCGGAATAGACCCAAGAGAAATTGAAACTCAGAAAAACATGATGTGGATCATGTGACCACGAACGGAACTCATCGGCAACTTCGGTGTACTTCAGCTATACATATTGTACACTTTGGTAAAACAACTCATTTGTTATAAATAGAAAAACTTCCCAAAAAGAAGAAAAAACATTATAACAAATCAGAAAAATTACAAATATTTGGTTGATTGGAAGTTTAAAACATTGAAATTTTGTTAACAGAGAAGATCCAATCAGTTAATTAAGGTAACCATATGCCCCCGCGTAGAAACTTTGTCATTGCAAGAACCGCGGTGGCGGCGGCGGCGGCCAACAGCTCCGGCGACCGGAGTGAAATACCCATTGAGAGCAGAGCTGGCTTTGACGGCGAGCCTACACATATCTTGAAGAGTCAGTGGGGAGTGCGACTTAGAAATGGGGAGGAGAAAGTAGAGTTGACCGATCTCCAAGTCTTCGTCTTTCGAAACTTGAGGTATTTCTGAGTCAACGCTCATCGACTCCGAGTTTGAGAGGAAGCAGTTTGGGTTCTCCGACAAAACGTCGGCGGCCTTCACTGGCCGGCGACACTCCAGCAGCTCGCCGTTCTCGTGGACCACCATGGCCGCCGCCGCCGCCGGAGTATTCTTGAGCAGAAATCTTCCACTTTGCCACCCCAAGATGTGTGAAGAAGCGCAAATTCCCATTTTTTGCAAATTAAGATTAGAAGATTATATTGATAGAGAAAGTATATTATGAAGTAATGAGTTGCTGACTGCTGAGGTTTGGTCCGTTTGGGGGTTTTATATAGGCGTGGTCGGAGTTTATTCATTTATTGTTTCATTAGCTTTTTAATTAAAAATTGATTTATTAGCCATTCAGCCTTGTTTACCCGTTTTACTGTATCTTTAGGAATTGGTGGAAAGTGACATTTCTATATTTAACGTTCACACAGAAACTTCGTGCACATTTTTAAAATAGGTTTAACGTGAGAAGTTTAAATTCTTCGCAATGTTGTATTTTTGTCGCCACGTTGCCGCACTTTTATTTAACTTTTAAGCATGTACTGTAGTAGAGTAGTAGAGTATAATGGTTCCTGTATTCCTGTTATCTTTAGCATGAGTTTACTGTACTTCTACATAATGCTCATTTTCTAATGATTCTTGTGGCCTATGTTTTACTTGGTATTTACTTAATTCTCCAAACAAGATTGAGAGCCCTTTGATAGTAGCCAAATCGGCTCTATTGGCTGATTCTGATGAAATTTATTAAATTCTAGCTGAAGTGGCTGTATTGGCTTATTCTGCTGATTTGTGAAAAATAATATTTTAAAATACATTTTATTAATAAAACAAAGAAAAAATTATACTCCGTATGAAAAAAATATGCCGTAGCTAAAATGGCCCTCTACAGTAACTTCAGCCAACAAAGCCAGAAAACTAACTTCAACCTTACTTTTGCTTATTATTACACAATTCAGCTCATAAAACTAAAAGTTACGTGTTTGGTAAAAAGTTGGCTTATAAGCCTGAATAACCGAAATTCATGGCTACCAAACGGGCACTGAATCATCAATCTCAAGAGCCACTACGTCCCTATACGACTAAGCATGTTGAAAGATTTAAATCACGGAAACTTAACCAAACTTAACCAATCTTCACAATGTTAGACCTTATACATGTGCACACCAGAGATCTAACCCAACACATTGGAGTTGTGACCTCCATACGATCGTTGTGGATTTTAATCCTTAGTCAATTTCTAAGTTTTCTACCGCTTTACCGGTTGAGCTACCCGTGTGGGTCCTGTATTTACTAAATTAATGTTGCACGACTGTGCCACAACGACGTTACACACTCATTATAAACTAGTTTTTTTACGCGTGTTGCGCGTGTGGGATAATGCCCAATACCATTGACAATATAGTTTTGAATCCAGCAAGATTATCCACTCTTTCAAAGGATATGATGATATGCATCCTAGAACGACAATGAGTTTGTTTCTAAGAAGTTAAGACATTAAGAAGTTTGATTAGAACTTGTGTGAAAGTTAGAAATAAGTACATGTATCCTAATAACCGCATGGTTGAAAAAAATCATATACTTGATACTCAAGCATTAAATCATATGCAGGATAACTACACTTGAACATTTGCAAATTGTGGTATATCGTGGGAAAAGGTTTGATATAAATTTATTAATCTTGAACTTTGGTTTTGGGGGGATAGGATAAGTCAAGATCACTAATCAATTTATGTTTCAAAATTCTTAAACTAATCATATATGTAAAATGGTAGATAGTACAATGGTATATTACATTCAGTTTTTTAGGAGAATGTATTAAAGAGGGGTATGTATATCCTCTTTTTGAGGGATTATTACAGAAAATGCTAACAGAATCATAACATGAAGAATATATTAACATCCATTTCATGGTATGCATGGCTTGGTTCAACATATTCCCTTAACCATGAGCCGTATTTGTAAATGTGATCAACACTGTTTAATACCATTAAATCAAACGGAACAACTTAGTAACTAATTTTGTAGTAGTCTACTAAATAAACAAAGAATTCACATTATAAGCTAGTTTTTTTTTTAGAAATGAGTGCATAGCGATTAGCCTATTGGTAAATATACTACGTAGTACAAATTAGTGCATAGCTATTAGTTCATATTAAATTTAATATACTTCTTCAAATAATCGTCAAAATAAATCTTAGGAGTGTAATTTGTCATATATGATTTTTCATTTGAAGAAGTTGGAGATTGAATAAATACACCCAACAACATTGGGAGGTTGAGTTAATTACGTTTGCAATAGAGTCAGAGCCGCATAGTCTATAACTACAAAATTATATATAGTTATCATGACTTTATCAATCAATTCCTACAAAATAATGGCAATTCAGAATAGGGAAAAATAATTTTAAATATCTCAAACTTCAAAGAGGTGTCAGATAAGTAATTCAAAGTTGCACTGTAATGTATATATCTCAAACTATATATAAATAGTTATGTTAGCACCATGATCATATTTTTTTAGAAATGTAATTTATGGTGTTGGGTACATAATTTAAAATACACAGAATATTTATGAGGATACAATTAAAATTAAATGGTATCAGATGTAATATTTTTTATTTCACAAATGAAATTTTAGGATGTTAAGTGCATTTTGACAAAACTTAGAAGATTTTAAATTATGTAAATACTTCAACAAATTTGTGCTTGTAAAAAAACATACAATCACAAAGCAAAAATAAATTTTTATATAATATTCAGGACATATATATTACATATGCAAGTTTGAGCTAGTTATCTCACACCTCACTACAGTTTGGGGTATTTAAGTTATTTTCCCCTTCAAAATAAAAAACTCACGATCGGCTTACTTTCAACAATTAAAATCAACTATTTATGTGTAAGAATATTATTTATAAAAGTTAAAAGTATAGTGTGTTAGAGATGAGTGAAATATCATTGTTATTTTATTTTGAAAACTGATGCACCTTTGTGTTACTCAGATGCACTTTTTATCCATATAAATGCACATTTTCACTTTATTTTTCGAAAAAGTTTCTAATATTTACACTTTTGCCGCTACGGTTGAACTTTAAAATTGTTATGATCCTCTTTTCTAATATGGAGTTTTTGATGTGCTAATTAGCTCGGGAGAAAACATAGTAACAATTGTGGCCTGCCCGTTTTCCCCCTACTAACCCGTTACAGCTGTATCCATCTTCCAAGTAAAACAAAAAAAAAGGAGTCCGTCCATGACCCTGAAACAATGGCGTAAGTCTGACCGCAACTCATTCCATCAATAAACTAAATCTCTGACCAATTTACACATATTCATTCAATCAATTCATTTTTCCCTACAATCGAGCATCATCAATATATTCACTCACCAAATTTTTTCCTTATTAAAGTCTTACTTTTATTAGTATACATTATCCTTTTACGAATTTTATTTATACTAATACTTATGATTTAATAAGTCAAACATTCGGATGTAAAAATAAATAAATTCGGAGTTCAACTTTTTTTCGTTACTCTAGATCCTAATTTTAGCATTCAAATCTATTCTCAAAAAATTTTGAATTCAAAATACATTAGAGGATAAAACTCGTACTTATTTTTAAACTTTATATATACAATATTGATGCCAAAAATTATGAATTTTAATATTTTTTTATAAAAAATATAGTAAAATAACAAAAGTTTCAGCACTTTAAAGAAAAAAAAGGAATTTCTAATTTTAATGGGTCCCACGTCCTGACACATGCGCAGCCCATTTTCTTCCTGGATCGGGGCCCCTCTATACATTTTTTCGTTCCAGCCAATTAGAGAGTGATTGGCACTTCCACAGTTCCACCCTATACGTTGCAGTCAGCCTAGACCCATTTAAAGCATCAAAAAACTATTGTTACACATTTTTTTGTACACACACTTACACACTCGTGTCTGTGAAGTGTTTTTTTTTCTGTATACAGACACAACGCATTTGAAGTGTCTGTGAAATAAATGTGTACCTCAAGCCTGGTTGAAGCAAATGGTTGAAGATGTCTTTTTAACTTAACGGAAAGCAAACGCCACAAAAACGGAAGAAGAGCTTAGAAAGGCAATTAATTAAAAACGTACAAGTTATTATGCATATTGAACAAATTGTTATATAGCTCCCTTATTACACCAACATTTTTTCCATTCCTAATATACCTTTACCATCATTGGTGTTTATAGTTTTTTAAGATTCCTAATATACCCTTACCATCATTGGTGTTTATAGTTTTTTAAGATTTCTAAATAAAATTTTGTTTTCCTATTAGAAGTATTGCATACTACATCGGTTATATTGGTGTAATGTACTTCATATTCAGTTCTACACCATTTGCATGTTTTACTTTAATTATATTTTATTTATTAGTGTGTTAGAAATTAAATTTATGAAGCAAAATTGTTAAATTTTTCTAATTTTAAATTTTTCGAAATCTGAATATTGTTAGATTTTAATTAGTAAAGGAATGAAATGTATCAATGCTTAAAATTGTACACTCACATACATGAACATAAAAATGTTACATACAACTAAAAAGGAATTGGAGCAAGTATTGGTTTTTACTTATTCAATACATATAATATGTACTCCGTATTATTCATTTATTTGTGATGTGCAAAGAAGAGGGGATAAACCTAGGCCTCACACACCCAAATTTTAATTTTATTTAAATTATTAATCTAAAAAATCGTGTAAAAATTATATAATAGTATGAAAAACCTTTGTATCGGGTCAGCTTAAGATGTTTTCTTTTAAACCGGAACTTTTTTGTCTAGTCTAGTTTGATCTGGTCTGAAATGATTTGATCTAGACTGGTAAATGTCTGATCTCTGTGTATTTTATAACTATAGAAGTTTGATCCGGTCTGATTTCTTCTGATCTGATTTGATCATCTGATCTGATCTAGTTGGTCTAAAAGTAAGCCAAACGAAAATATCCTTACTATCGAACGAAATGCACCATATATGCATACGGCACCTTCGCATCAAATAAATATGATCATTCATTTATAATTACATTGTCAAATGAAGTTCAAAATGGCCTTGATGATACTAGGTCCACTAGAGTTTAATGCACCAGACCCCCTTGTAAAATATAAATTTGGTGCATTAGCCCCCTGTGATTTAAAAAATGTGTCAAACCCCTTCCAAGAACAAATTTTACAATTTTGAAATCACTTTTTTTAATAATATGGTTGAATATGCAAGTAACATTGTCAAA